TTCTTTAGTTCCGGCAAGCCAGTCTTTCTCTTAATTGGAACACAGAGTTTATGTACAGTTGATATAATATCTGATTACATTTAAATCAGCCATCATTACTATTTATTAGTTATTACCTGTCTGTATTTCCCTCCCCACCACCATTAATCTACTAAATTTTCAGATGTTCTGTGCACTATATAACCCTCATTTGCTATATTAAGTTTATTTTCTTTCCTTCTTTTTAAGGAAAGGACAGAGTTTTTAATACTCCACTATGTGAACAAGGTATTGTTGGATTTGGAATTGGGATTGCTGTCACTGGGGCGACTGCCATTGCTGAAATTCAGTTTGCAGACTACATTTTCCCTGCTTTTGACCAAGTAAGTCCACTGCATTTTACTGCGAGTGACCTTTTGCAAGGTCAAGTCCAAGGAGTATTGAAACGTTGCCACGGCCCTCCCTTTAACATCCTTACACTCACTTTGTTACCCATGAATTAGTATTGTGCAGGTGACGTTCTGTGATGCGGCCAATTCTTAATAGTGTGATTGTAGGAAATGGATTTGGAAGGACGGACGCGTTATGACATGTCCCTTCTCTCCTTGCAGATTGTCAATGAAGCTGCCAAGTATCGCTACCGCTCCGGGGATCTTTTTAACTGTGGAAGCCTCACGATCCGGGCCCCTTGGGGCTGTGTTGGTCACGGGGCTCTCTACCATTCTCAGTGTCCTGAAGCTTTTTTCGCCCACTGCCCTGGAATCAAGGTATTCTCACTGACACGTCATATTTGTTCTCCAGTCGATATCGCTGGGTGGTGTGGTTCTGTGACTAGTACCTGGAGTGGTGTTCTGATCTGGAGGGAAACAGGCAGGACTTCTTGGATTTGTGTGAGCTTAAAAGTATTTAAGAAAGAAAAGGTAGCCTTTCTCTCGCACGCCAGCTTTTCTAGAACGGTCTTTGTGCTGCAGCGCTGGCAGGGACAGTGATTAACTTTGCAGACTTCAAAACGTATGGCTGCGAAAATAATTAGGTCATCTTTCACCTCTTTCAGAATTCTGTGTTTCTTTCTAATTGGGTTTTTCTCATTTAACTGATTGTGACATTATTGTAATAAATCTACTCCTTAGGCCATTGTTCCTCAAAGTCAGAGGGACAGGATTTTTCCTTTTAGTTCCCTGCTTCCTTTTCAAGTAGACAAGATGAGGACCGTTAGCCTAGATTTGGTTTTTCCTAGTCTAGCGTGGGCAGCACTTGTTCATACAGTGGATGTGAAACCTCTCATGACAACAGGGGCCTCCACAATTGCTTAGGTCTTTATTAACTGTACACGTTTGCAGTGTATTGTGCTTACATTCTTTGTGTGGGGCTGGAACGTGGACCTGGCACACCTTATGGTGACTTAACAAACTGTCATCTTGAGTGGGAACACCCACTTGACCCAGCCAGCATGCTTGTAGACATTGGCGCAGAGGGCAGTGGCAGGCAAGGAGACCAGGAGGGGAGGGTTGCGTGCTGCTGACTTCCCAGATTGGCTGTTCTTGTTGAGGAGTTGAGATTCTCACTGTTGCTCAGGGTGGCTCCCGCTCTTGTCCAGGGAGCTCTGGTCGTTGCCCTGAATGTCGCTTCCTGGCTCCAGTGCAGATCCTCAGCCTGCTGGTGCAGAGCCTTCACCCAGCCAGTACAGCCCTTCTGGCCACCACCACTGGCCCACGGCCCTGCCCAGTGCAGGCCCTTGACGCAGACTTGCGTGAGACAGTGCCGTGGGCTCTCGGCCTCCAGCTGGACTTGTGCAGGACGCTCCCGTGGGGGCCAGGCCTTCTGCTGGATCTTCAGACCTCTGGCATGAGGGCAGTTCTCTTAAGCTTTTCTGCATTGGGCTTTTTGGGTGGACATTATAAAATAATACCGTGTGTCCTGTATTAAAGCTATTCCCTTGCAAACCCTCACGGTAGAAACATCTTAATTCCTCCCTTCACTCCCCTTCTTTCCTCCCTTCTCACATTTGGATCCCCTCCCCTGTGAAGACCTCGCTCCCTATTTCCTATTATCTATCAGTTACTTTGCTTTCTATTTATAATTTGCATTTCTTGTGTAAGCAGGTGTGTCTGCTTTATGTCACTTAGCATCGTGGTCATTGTTATAAACGACATCATCGGCGCAGACATCGTTATAAAGGTGACTCGAGTTTACCTTTCTTAGGGCCACAGCATCGCGCCATTGTGTGTGGTTTGAGTGTTTTATGTCTTGATAGTTTCCGCTCTCTTTCCTTCTATTTCTCTTTACTGAACAGTATTCCAGGGAATCGCTGTAGAAACTCCCAGGCAGGTCAGTCTGGAGGTACGCGTTTGTTTCTGACAACACCACGTGGCTGTGACCATGGTGTATTGTGCCTTACCTCCCCCTGGTCTATGGGATTACGGTCCTAGGCTTCATTTATTTACTTATCCTTTTCAGCTGAGTAGAGGTTGGGACAGAAGCTGTGTTCAGCGTAACACCGTAGTCCTGCGTGTGAGTCGAGTGTTGCTGCAGGTGTGACACCATCAGCCCAGCGTTTTCAAAACAAATCTTCTCTCTCAGCTCCCTGTGTTTTCTTTCCTTTCCTTCATTCCTTCTGCTTTCTTTTATTTTTTTTCACTTCAGGCAAAAACACTGTATACATAAAATAAACAGGCTAAAAATAAATACATGTAGTGAGACGTGGTGGCACACACCTGTAATCGCAGCACGCAGGAAGCTGAGGTAGGAAGATCGTTGGGCGTTTGAGACCAGCCTGAGCCACAAAGTGAACTAAGGCAGGTATAATGAGACTGCATAGTGGGACCCTGTATCAGAAAGATTAAAACAAACAAACAAAACAAGCTAAACCAAAACAGAACTTGTAAAAGCAGATAAAAAGAAACTTAAAGGTAGGAACATAAAATAAAGACATTCTTTGATATGATTATAATGTGGGCACAAGTTCATTTATAAAAGATAAAATAGATTTGTGCAGCTCTTATTTTTTAAATAAAATTCTTTCAAAAGCCAAGTGTAGTTTCTTTCAAGAAATTTTATTTGTGCCTTTGTGATAAGTTCAGGCTTATTTTAAGACGTTTTCTGTAATACTTGTCTTCATGTACTTATTTTTATTATCACTGAATGAGACTCAAGCTTATGACTTGCAGTGTGATATAGAAGTGCAGTCCTTGAGCCTTAGATTCTGTCGCAAGTGGGTGGAAATCCCTGGGCTAGCAAATCATATGATCTTGGACAAGCCTCCAGCTAGCACCTTAAACTCCAGTCTCTATTCTTTTTTTTTTTTTTTTTTTTTTTTTTTTTTTTTGTAGCTAGTTCAGCCTGCCCTGGAGGCAGGGCTGGTGCAGCCTGTGGTGCCGTGGATCGAACCGCAGTCCCTGTGCTTTGCCTTAGCCTGCCTAAGCAGGCACTTTAGACCACTGAGCTCTCTCACCGGCCCTCCAGTCTCTATTTCTAAAATGCAAAAAATGCCAGCTAACTCTTGAGGTTACTGTGATCAGTAGATGAATTAATCAACATCATGTTTGGCCCAGTTATCACCTGAGTTTTCTGCTGTGTTAGCATCTTCCTCATCTTCACCCTCATTCTCTAGAAAGTCCCAAAGTGGTGGAAGGTACCTGCCCTTCAGACAGGAGGCTGAGGCAGGAGGACTCCGAGATCACGACCACTTTGGGCATCTTTGGGTATCTGGGAAGGATTAAAAAAAGGGATATAGGTTAGAACAGCCTTTGGTTCAATCCTCAGTAAAAAATAATAAAATAAAATGAAAGACAGAATATCCTGGAGTCCTTTTTTGTCACCTAGAAGTGTAAAATCTCCACACTCTTCTTTGTGTTCCGCCAGATATGGTCAGCATAGTACCTGGATCACAGCAGGCAGTGGGTCATACAATTCAGTGGAAATGAAACAAATTCTGTACTTTTTCATGGGCAGGAAGGAGGCTTCGCATGGTACAAAGATGAAAGTTGTATGCGTTTTGTTATTAGTAGCACAGTATTAGTAGATAACTTACTCTATAGATAAATACAGGTTTTGATAATTCTTTTGGCTTTGATATATGTTCTTTTTAAGTTTTAAAAATATTTATAGACAAGTTAGCTCCTTAAGAATAATGTACTGGTCATCAGGACATGGCAGGCATCTTTAAAATATTTGTTAAACCAGATGAATTTGGGGGGATAATATATAAATTTTATAATAAATCATGATTAGATTACAATAAATGGGTTAATATTTTTAGTCATAATTGATTATTTAAATATCAGCACTTATAAGAGACTTTAATGGATGCATTCTTATTAACACTGTCTTTAAAAAATCTCTTTCTGCAGGTGGTCATCCCCAGAAGCCCCTTCCAGGCCAAGGGACTGCTTCTGTCATGCATCGAGGACAAAAACCCTTGTATATTTTTTGAACCTAAAATACTTTACAGGGCAGCAGGTAAACATTTTATTTCATAGTTGTGAATATCTCCATGTGATTTGTTTTTCATGGATCAGAAAATTGTAACTTTTTGGCAGGCTAATACTCACAGACTTTTAGGAACAAATTCTCATTGATTTCTCCCGCATTGAGTTTGTCCTCAGGTGTAGCGTCTGTGGTTAGGGGCGACCCAGCTAGCTATTTTATATTTTGGCTGTGGGGACTGAGGAACAATGTGAAGTGGTGACGAGAAGAAGGAAACAGTGGTAAGCTGTGTTGTAAAAGTTTAGCAGGTGGGGGCTGGCTGGAGCACACAACGAGCGCATCGTACGGCATGGCATGTGGGTGTCCCTTTAGCTAAGTGACCGTCAGGGCTGCTTGACATCAGGATACTTAGCTTTTACAGTGTGCTGTGGGCTCTGGTTTGCCCTGCGCTGGCTACAGCAGACGGATGTTTGGTCACCTTCCTTTAAGCTCAGAAAGATCACAGAGCTGTAAGTACTTATGCGTAACTGGCAATATTAAATATTAAAGAATTTGGTATAAAGTACATTTTATTTTCAGTGAAAAAAAAGTGTTCTGGCAAGTCACTTTGTTCTTTGAAGAGTTACATTCAAGTCCACATTTCCCTGTGATGTAATTTATGTGGAACAAAATGTGCAGTGTTTAATTTGATGGGTCTTTGACAGTCCTTGTAATCATGATCCAAAATAAGACACTGAACATTTTCATCACACTTGGAAGCCTCTTATCGCTGTCTGCAAGTTTCTTCTCCCTGCTCCATAGTCAGCACTTTCTAATTGCTGTCAATTAGTTTTTCCTGTTCTGGGGTTTTGTGTACATGGAATCCGAGTATCTATTCTGTTGTGTTTACCTTCTTAACCTAACGTTAGCAAGATGCATTCAAGTCATGGCTATGTCAGTAGTTTATTCCTTTTTGACTGCCCAGTAGCAGTTCATTGTGTGAATATACATTATTACTATTAAGTATTTTCATTAATGTTGTGCAATATTCAATCATTATCACCAAGCAGTGAACATTGCCATTATATGGTGTGGATGTTCTCTGCTATTATTACTATTAGGCAGTAGTCTTATTCTAAGTAGAATGTTGTTACTAAGCAAAGTAGCTTGCCTCTTCTGTCATCACTCAGCCAGTGTCTGCACACTTCGCTGTACCGTGGCTGTATCGCTGGAGGCTGCCTGTCAGTGCACTAAGTGGGAAGTGTTTCTTTTTTTTTTTTTTTTTGGTGGAACTGGGGATTGAACTCAGGCCCTTACACTTGCCAGGCAAGCACTTATTCTACTGAGCTGTCTCCTTGGGCTCCTGGGAAGTGTTTCTTGAGAGGGAAGAGATGTCGGAGGCCCACGCGGCGTGCTGAAGGAGTCAAAGGCACTGTATGAGGAGGCGCAGTTTTTCATGGCCCGTGCAAGTGGGCTTCTGTTTCACCTTACTTATTCCTTTACTGAAGAACAAATGTCTATCACTGTTTGCAGTTTTTGAAATCTTCTGCAGAGTTACTATAGTAGAGATTGTCCCCGCATCTCAGTTAGCACTCTCTATTTAATTTCTGAAATATTTTAAGAGTCTAGCCAAACACTTTTGAAGAACCTAACTTGTGGGCATCTGAAGAAGCTAACTTGTTGGCCTCAGGTTTACCCCTGACGTACAATGTGAATCTATGCCTGTGTGATGCACATTCCAAAGTCCTGTTCTAGAATGTTTCAGTAAGAGGTAAAGCTAGGGCTGCTGCTTAGAATTGTAGCGCGTGTTTCTGTCATGAATCTTATCCTCTCCCTGCTTCTTGTTTTCCTCGGGAACATACTCCTGCGACTGCCACTTGAACTCGCTTCTTGTGGTCTCAGGGGGCTGCCGGTCATCACCCCAGCCGTCGTGATCTTAGAATATGGGCGTGTAAGGCAACCCCAGTCACGCCAACCCCTGGGAATTTTCTATGTGGGTGACTGGGGCCCTGCGTTACTCTCATTCCTTCATCTTTCATTGATTAATGAGCTTCTCCAAAATCCTGTCACTAAGTCTTATTTGAAATTTAACCTACTTTGAATTTTAATTTCCTGCGGATCTGACCCGTATAACAGGCATTTTTTACTATTATAATACACAATATTGGTTAGAGGAAAGGTGCTTCTTGTTTTGAGGTCACGTATTCCTCGTTGAATTAGAATAAACAATGAACTTCAGACTTTCACAGTGTAATATAGATGCTACTTGGTCTGCGTAGCTGAAGTAGAAGTCCCTCCAGTTTGTTCACAACCGTACTTCGTGAGGTTGTTCAGGGGTTCAGAGAAATGACCTATGTGTGTATCCACTGAGTTTTTAGTGCTTTGTCGTGAAGACGGATAAGCTGTTTAATTCTCACAATGACCTTGTCAGGTAAATTCATTCCCTACCTGGTGGAGCTGAGTTATTTGAAATGAAGCAAGTTAAATAGCTTTGTCCACAATCCCACTCCAGGACTTGAACCAAGAGTCTGTCTCTAGAGCCCAGTGCAGTGACACTGATGGTTCCAAGTATTTTTGACAAAAACCGGTGAGGCAGTGCTGTCCCCTTCTGACAGATAAGAAAACTTAAATTCACTGTTTAAGAAATAGGGCCGTGCCAACCCCTGAAACCAGGCATAGTGGCTCACGCCTGTAATCCCAGCGCTGGGGAGGCTGAGACGGGGATCACTACAAGTGCGAGCTGGGTACTGGGGCCCTGTACCAAACAAACAAACAGGTAAATGATTTTTAAAAGGTACACTTTCGTAGCATGCAGAGTAGTACGTGATGGAGTTGCAGTTTCGACCAGTGCACCTTACCAGACAGGCTCTCCTCTCTTAAGGAGAGCACCGTTGTACATCCCACTCAGCCATTACTGGATACAGGAGAAAAGTGCGTGGAACTTGGCCCGTTGTTGCGGTCTCATGCCAGAAAAGGGTGGTGTTCTTTGAAACTTTCCTAAAGGATTACAACGATGCGTTCTTTAATTGGATGGAGACGTGTCCATGGAAGCCGAGCACTGCGTTGGGGCTGGACGTTCCTGCATTGCATAGTCCCAGCTTGCTTGCATGCTGTGTTAGCTTCTCCGTCGCATGGGATTAATTCACCACTTTGATACTCATAAAAATTACATGTCCCAGTCCGGTGGGGTGATAGCTGGGGTGGGGTAATAGCTGATGACCTATATACACTGTTGGCATGTTTTAAGTATACTCTTAAATATATTTTGCCAATTTTTTTTTTGGAGTTTTTGGGGAAAGGTCTACAGGGTGTTCAGGGCCTCACTACAAATCAGACTTGTAGTGATCTGCCTGTTTACAGCCTCCCAAGAGCTGGGATTACAGGCGTGCGCCACCATGCCCAGTCTCAGTTGCCAGCTTAGCAGGCCTGGGGATTGAACCCCCAGCCCCTGCACCTGCTTGCAGGCACTTTAATCCACTGAGCTATTTGACTGGCCCTTTGAATTACTTTTGTTTACTTGATTGGGCCTTATTAAATGGTATTCATTGTTTTATGATTGTCCAAGCAGATTTCTGTTTCTGTCTTAAATATATGGGATAGCTTTTGTTGTAAACCTAGAACTCCAGGTTCTTAAAGCAAGCAGGACTGTAGCCATTATGCCATGATTTTATTTGGTGATGGTGGGCCTTAACTTAATACTAAGTAACAAGAAGGTGCAAAGATGTTTAGTTGGCTGGTTCAAGTGCCAAATTACCTTCAACTTTATGGATTGTGGCTGACCCGATAAACTGTATTGCTCATGGAGTAGGACCTGGTAGAATTTTCTGATACCGTGCCGTAATCTTTGTGTTATCTATTCTCTAGACTACATTTAGGCATTGAGCAGATACCTTTTTTTTATCATTAGACTTAAGATACTGATATTTGCAATGACTAAGTTCAACTGTGTGATAGTGACTTGTTTTTAATAAAAGTTAATATCAAGAGTCTCATGTTCACAAATTTTTGAACTACCTAGAACAAAAATAGTGGAAGTTTTTTCCCTGTAATTTTCTGCTCCTGTCTCTTCTGGTCATTTTCTGTATATATGTATATAGATATCTATCTATCTCTATCTCTATCTATCTATCTATCTATCTATCTATCTATCTATCTATAAATACATTGACCACATCTGCTTACATATGAACTTAAAAACAGTTGTGCTGTAATCATTGTGCTATAACTTGCTTTGCAAATCATTTTCTATGTGTTTATAAAAATAAGTGAATATATGGAATACATATGCATAAGTAAAAATTAAAGCAGTTTATAAACATTCTGTAAATTTTTTTTCTTGCCAATATAATTTGGCTATATTTTTATGTCAGTTCACATAGATTTAGGTGATTTTAACTCTTAGAATTTCCTTTTCCCTTTTGCTGGAAAATGAATTGTTTCTGCATTCTGGCCATTTTAAGAAATGTTGAATGGAACATCCGTGTTTAGATATATTTCAGTGTCTCCATATTTATTATATATATATATATATATATACATATATATATATAATTATTATTATTATTAAGGTGCATGGAAAAATTATAAGCCAGTGTACTTTATTATAAAAACTAAAACTTGTGTCAATTTGTTTCTTACGTTAAGCTCCATGTATATTGCAGTTGAGCTCTAAGCACTGAATGATTGACAAAGCTAGTTGCTCTGAGTGTCTAAATGGAAGTTAGTACAAACTTCTAGAAGCTAAGCACTGACACAGTCGTTAGGTACTGAGGGACACGTACTTAAATAGGCAACTTTTTATACCCTGAAAGATTACAATGAAAGCTGGAAAATTTGGACAGAGATTTAACTTGGCATCTTTTGTGTTTTATATTACCTTGTATATAAATACTTTCTTAATGTTTTTTTAAAAAGAGACTAGTTTTAGTTTCCCAATAAAATTGAGAGGAAGCTTTAAATATTTCTTACCCAGTACCTGACCCAAAGCAAGCGTGGCCTTCCCCTGATAGGGTGGAACAGGTTTCAGAATTGCTGAGCCTGCATTAAGCAACCAC